AAGTATACGTTTTGTCTTCCGCGTTTTAACTTATATCAGTAAACACGTGCTTTCTTGTACGACTGCAGTAACGTTTACTTGACCTTATTTAAAGCTCTCATCCTGCTCAGCGCGATTCCTTACTTTGAAAAATCACAGCGTTACAGCATGAAGCTCCCAAACAGTCTAAACATTTCGTTTGATTTTCCCACGATGATACGATGCTATCTTATGCTTTTGTTTCTTCCAGGTATGTTTATAGCTAGCCGGAGTTGTGATCAAGTCTTGAGTATCAATTTTCAGGTATGATATTTCTGATGATGCACATGAGGAAACAACGCATATCCAAACTTCGACCGAGGTCTGCCAGGAGCAAGCTATCGTGAAACGTTTTCCGACTTTATGTACTTTGTAGTATTTGCTTCTACTCCGTCGTTTGTTTAATAAAAACAGTTGTCCTATTTCCGTTTATGAATACAAATAAAATTGAATGCATCATCCTTTGTTGGGGATGAAAGACAATGAAAACAGTTTTTCGGACACTACTACAGACAGACGCTGTTTGGTCTAGTAAATCTGTTTTCTTTGCCGATAAGTATCATCAGCGGCTCTCAATCCTCGTAAACACTGCATCATTTTGACTATTTCAACAATTATAAGTTTTCATGGCTGGTGCAGGGTACAAAAACTAGAATTTATATTAACCAAAGAATTTCTGTGCATAAATGACAGGTACGCAACAGATAAACAGCAAATAAACAGTGGAAGCGAAACAAGTACTACTTGCTGAACTGCACGGCCAAAGACTTTGAGAATGACCTGAGGCAATTGTGTCAAAGGACTCTGCTCCAAATTCGAGTTATGTTCTGCCGAAGCTGAGAAACTTGCACAGGATCGAAAATGTTGGAGACTGCTTCTGTGACCCGATAGGATAAGAGGTCATCCAAAGTGACTGGGACTGACTGACACAATCGGCTGCTGTAGTGGACGGTTCCTACGTTTCGAAAAATGAAGTAGAATATATTTGGTTGTTTGCAGCGTTCCGGAATTACACAATGAAACCAATAATAAACGAAGTGCCAAACAGAACAGCCCAAATTTTGACACTGAATACATCTATTCATAAAATGCATCATATTCCTAAAGGTTCTAAGCTGAACTCGGCTTCCTTGAGTCTGATATGCTTGCATAAAGGCAGAATATAATCATGTACGTGATGGTAAAGCTTTGCGGTATAACAGCTTAAGTAACCTTCAAATTCCGGTAACATACCGCCAAAGACCGCTTGTTTCACCGTTAATACTCATATGAGAACTGTTCTACAGTTCGCAACCGATAGAAGTGCTACAGTAAAAGAATACACTAATTCATACTTCTCTGTTGTATGCTAACCAACCAAAGTTACCTTCGCTGTCGTCATTTCGTTCTGCTTAAATTAAGTTTAACTAATTGTACTATTTAAGTTGTACTGAATTACATTTTGCAAGCAAAGGTAAATCCGCATGAGACTTTCAGCAAAACGCAAGATAACATATTCCTTTATCCTTCCCACATCAAAACATAAGACAGTGAACCATGAACAATATCTTTATTGGAATTCAGATATGATAAATCACGTGCAGGAAGATATCATTCAGTTCTAATCTTCATTGTCCACATTGATCGTAGTGAGTCCTAAATTCAAAGTGTTAGCCTTATATAACTGAATTAGTTACTGTATATAGTAAAAAAGCAAATTTTATAATGACACAGGCAAATATTTTGTACGTGAGTAAAGTACTGTCAATTTCAGTCCATCACAAAAAACTTTTCGGCTTAAACGGTCACGAGCAACAAGAAAAATTATATATCTTTCAAACCGAAAGTAGATTTAGTGGCTTACTGCCCTGATCACTCAAAAAAGTATAGCGTTAAGCTCGATAAACATTTTTATCGTTTTTTCCTTTCCGTTTTTTCTGTGAGAGAGGGAGGGGAGGTTGCTCAGTGCAGAGTAAGTTTTGTTTTCTTTCTGCAACTGTGGCTCAACGATCAAACGATACGGTCTCAAAAAGTCATCGCAATCAGTATTTGTCTAGTTACCTCATACTCATAACCATCCCATTCCTCCCTCATTCACACTTACTGAAATGCAAAGGTACTTAAACACCTGACCCTTCAGTAACTTAGTGATATGATAAAGAAAACTGGAAACAGTGATCAACAGAAAGGCCTGAATGGACTCGAAAATCAAATCAGCATAGCGTTCACTACCATAAGAGTCATAGGGAAACTCTTGCTGCACTTCAGTATTACCCAAATGGAGGGATCTGTATTTCATTTTCTTATCTGAGGGATAGAAAGCATCTCTCCAGTCTTTGACAATTTACGCAATAAATTTCAACTGTAGAAACAGCAGCCTACTTTTGAAAGATGTGACCGGCACGTAGGTGACAAGGGTGTACAACTTGTGCGGGGAATCTTCGTCTTCGTTGCGACGTCGGCTCAATCGTACGCGAACTCGAAACGGTACATTCCTGAAGTAAACAATAAATTGCAAAGCTAAGAATTAATTAACATCAAGTCATTCAAATCTTTTCAGTTCAGTTTAACAGATAAATTAGCCGATTATATTTAAACCGTTAATAACAAAATCCTTCTAGCTGCTCTGTTTTCGACAACGGCGACGTAAGAACACATAAGTCGACGCCCTGCCACTTCTCGATGTTGCGTAATGTGCCGTTACCCCAAAGCAGTGCTCGCTTCGCATCCGTTTCGTCCTGGAGATATTCATGTTCAAACCAAAGGCGCATGACTTCTGTAACTGAGTTATCTTCGTTAGGACTTCCACGGAGTCTTTGGCGAAGATGACGTCGTCTGTAAAGAGCAAATGCATGAGCCTTTCTCCTCGATGCTAGTGCCGCCGCCTCAGTACAGACGGTTAAAGACTGATTCGAACGCCGTCAAGAAACTCTAAAGACAGATGGTGTCTTCTTGGCACACTTCTCCTTTGATGTTGATTAGACACGGTTCCTCAAACAGCTTAATGTCGGTTGCGGTGTCATTATTCAGTTCCTTGAGGTTGAAGCTTGATGTCGGAGTCGTGCAGGGCATGTAGTACAGCGCTCAGGTTGATGAAATCGAACGCTTTCATGATATCAATGAATGCAACAGAGGAAGAAATTGTATCCCTTGAACTTCTCTTCTTCATGACGTGAATGTAGCCGTGAAACCGGTTTGTTCTTTATTAGCGCGCATTTCCAGCTCTTTCGAGATATAGATGAGGATGACTGGGGTAAAAACTTGTGACAAAAGACTTGTGGGACCACAGTTCTGCAGGACTTAAGCATCCCTTTCTTGAGAACAAGAATCACCGAAGAACTCTTTTATGTTTCTGGTGTTCTCTGTAAACAGTTTTGCAAGGACTTTGAATAGGGTCATTTTTCCTGACTTCAGATATTCCGGTTTTATACCATATTTGCCAGGACATCTGCTCATCCTGATTGCCCATTCTACTTCGTCCCATGTGACACAGAGAACGGTTGCAAAAAACGTG